CCATTGCCAAACCCAGGGTTCTGCAGCTCAAAGCTGCCATAACTGTAGACGCCTGAAGGAGTAGAAATGTGCTTTCTAGGAACAAATCCCACTATATGCTCTGGAAATTGCTGAAAGAAAAAAAGAAATTCAACACTTATTTCACAGTGTGGGGTTCACTTCAGTGTGTTCATAAGAGAGATTTATGTATTTTTTAAATGAAAGGAGGACAACATTATTGCCAGGAAAGAATTAAATTGTTGGTATATGGTCCCTCTGATCTGCATAAATGTTGCAATTAAGTACAGTTCCACAAAACTGATAGTCTGCCTCATTCCACATCACATAGTGCCAACAAAACATCTACCCACAACTGGCAGCTGTGTATTTGGCACGGAAAATAACTTTACAGACAATTTCTCGTGTTTTGCAAAACAAAACACACAGAGTACGATGCATTTAAATAAAGTCAGCAGTTAGCAACTTCATGGTTTTGTAAAGTAAGAGTTAAAATTTTAAAGTTACAGATACTACTAAAAAACAAATTTTAGAAACTTTGCAATTTCTATTCAACACTTCAAACTTCCTAAAATCTAACTTTAAAGCTAGAAAACTAATGGTAAAACAGTGTGATACAGTATTGCTCTAACTAAAACTATTAATCTCAAGTGCAGCTCACAAATACTGCCTGCCAAGATGCAAAACATTACCTGCCAAACGGAAAAGGCAAAAGCAAGGTCATGAGCACTGACTAGTGTGTCATCATCCATCATTAAAACAGCTGAAGGGAGGAAAATGAGAGAAAAACATTTAATTGATCAAAAGATTAAATACATGACCACAGTATACAGCACAATATTTGACAAATGAAATATAAAATTTCTACAACTATTAAGCTGAATTGCAATTCCTTGAAAGTAGATTGGTAAAACAGAATTAGATTTCAAAGCTAAAGCAAGGTTACAGCTTTGTGGTAACTGGAAGCAAACCTAAGTTCTAGATTATTTGCCAGGCTGTTACAAAACTCAGCAACCTTTGATCATCTGTAGTACAGCTGGAGAAATACGTGTTAGAAAACCTTTGGGAGTGTTTGGCAAAGCAACTTAAAATTCTACTAATCTTGTTTAAAGATACAAGTAGAATAGAGTTAGATACTTTTCTTTAGCATTTACACTACGTAAGCAAGTTAAATTGCCCAGGCAACATTCAGTATTTTCAAGTACAGAGGGAAGACTCTTTGCCTTACGTTTTAGACAAAAGACTACCAGGAAGTGGAAAAGGAAGGATATTCTTAGATCTGAACTGCAGATGCATTACAACTTTTAAAGTTTGCAGTTAGCACAGATCTTACTACAATAAGTAAAGCACTTGGGAAGTTGAAGTTTTCAGTGTCTTTCTAGAAATCATGTGTTTGGACTAGCAGGCATGATAGGAAGGGGGCAATAAATACAATTACCTTTACTAATCATGAGTAAGGTCAGGTCTGTAATGCAACATATTGGGGGTTTTTCCACTTGAAACAAACAGGATTTATTGTTGTACACGTCCTAGAAAGAGCTTAGGAAGAATATTTAGATGAATACCCAGGAGACTGGAGAAGGTACTCTTAAATAAAAGGGTGTGTCATTTGAGATAGAAAGCCAGACAGCTGGGGAGGGAAGTTTCTCAGAAGAGCAGAACATGCTTTAGAATTTAGTCTTAAGAGGAATGGACTAAATCAAGTCTTTATCAGATGACTCAAGTCCAGATTAGTGCAGACACTCAACAAATAACATGCATTTTGAATTTCAGTTTATGGTACAGAAGGAAGAGCAGCTGAACTACCTACGTCTGCCTCACAAAGGAAATGGAGAACTGTTGCAAAAGACCTTGAAATGCATTTGATATTCCTCTTTTCTTTACTCTTCACTGGGGGCCTGTGGTGGTGTGCACCTGATGTGATAACACAGGGTTCCTCTACACTACCCACACTCTATGAAGTGGTCCACAAGATCCATTGATTTATTACACACTATAACTCAACCATCTCTCTTTTAATTCAGATTTCAAGCATGAAAATAATATTAGTAATAGTGATATGAACTGCTGATTACCTTTTGTTTCCAGGTCAGGGAAATTCTGCAGTCTGTTTCTCATACGATTTACAGTTTGAACTTTAAAGACAACAGGGACAGGATGAGGCCCCAAGGAATTCCACATTTCCTCTGGTGTCTTCTCACCAACGTTGTTCCACACCACAATTACTTTATGTAGGTGGGGGATTGCTTGATAATGATTTAAAAGCTTTAGCAGTAAGTCAGTTCTATTGTATGTCTGCATAATAAGAGTGAATGAAGCCAGGGCAGACTGAGTCTGGGTTTTTGGTTCCCTTCTCGAGTTGGGCAATTTGTCATCTTTGATAGTGGGAAGCAAAGCTGTTAAAGCACCTGCCACAAGAAGCAAGACGATGATCACCACAGAGGTGAAGCGCAGTAGGCGGATTCCCATAACTCTTCCTGGAAGCTTACAGAAGTGAAAACACCTTGAAAACAAGGAGCAGGAAAGGAAGTCATTAAACCCATGTACAGTGTCCTATCTTGATCAAAACTCCCAAAATATTAAGTACATTTTCACTTAAATAAGTAAATAAGGAGAACTTCGCAGAATTTTGAATCATTTCTTTCCAAACTGCAAATAACTTGCTTGAAAACATGAAAGTAATAAGTCTAAAATGCCTCACAGCTTACCTCATTGTTGCCACATAGGATTGTTTTCCCAGCTTGTTTTTACAGGGCAGTTGTTTGTGATCTTTGAATCTGCTGGAAATTAAAGGGATTCTATAACTGGAGATCAACAGTTATCCACATGCTACCCAGCATGCTTTTACAAGTAAAAGGTCCTCCAATTATTGACTGATATATGCATTCATGGCAATTATCCCATTCCTTTTGCTGATGCTCAGCTGAATAGTTATCTCTGCCTTTCAATGAACACTCCTGAAAGAAGTCATTACACCAGATGGTTAAAAAGAAAAGAACAGTCTGTTTCTCTGCTTGTAAAATTGCTGCTTTGTGCCAGTGCAATGTCTGTGTGTTCCACCCCTAAGTTCAGCTATGGAGACACAAGTAGGTCTTCAGAACCTGACAGGTGTTTCTGTGCTCACCAGGCACCACTAAAATATATATTTGGCTACCACAGTCAGGCAAATACAATTTTATCCCAATAATATTTTATTTTCTGGGTCATCCCCTTTACATTCTCACTAAGATTATCAGCTGGATCAGAGGTTTAAGACACAGCATTTTGGTCTCCCATGAGGTTTGGCAGCTTGGAAAATATGAGTGCAAGCACATAAAAGAAGGATATACAGGACTCAGGACAGCAATATAGGAAAGCTGTGGTCCTAGGTTGTTGGAGAGATTTTTGTTCCTTTAAAACTTGCCAAACAACCAAAGAGTTGTTAATTTTGATTTGAGAATGGTACTATGAAAGCTTAGAGCAATTAGAATTTGTTGAATAATTGGACCTCTGTGAAATTCCATAAGAGTAATTTGTTTAGGCTATATACATTTGCTTCTTAAAATTACAGATTTGTTATTGTGTATATACCAATCTGAATATGTCCACATATAGAGGTCTCCCCCAATCTGATTGTCCACATATACAAATCTCCCCAAATTACTATTACTTTGTGACAAGAGGTCACTGAAACTATTTCCAGAAGCTAACTGCTTGTTCTGGTTGCTTCATTTCATAGGGAACAAACAATCATGCCTGACTTCTAAAAATTATTAGCAGCAGGGGCAACACAGCATTTATGAGATCCACTATATTCCCATCAAATATGCTTTTGAAGAAGTGAACCTCAGATCCTCTTTCAGCAGTCTGCAACCAAGTTGCAACACTTACCAATGCTATCGTAATGATTAATTCAACTTTAAAAGCATACTTAAAACGAGAATATAAATACCGCTTGCTGTTTATGAGACTTTGCTTGCCATACCTTCTAGTGCTTACAATAGGTGTAGTGATAGGCAATTATGACATTACTATATATTCTCAAAATAAACGTCTGTTGACGTGTTTTAAAATTAGCATCATGGCCCTTTCCAACAAGCAAATGCAGATAAGATGCCAATTAAGTTATGAAATTTCAATGCCAGATTGACGTCTTTTTAAAAAGCATACAATACTATCTGCAGAGAACACAAAAATGATGAAAATAAAATCCCTACATCAACGACCACTATTTTAATCCTCGTTTCAAGAAAAAGAGTTCTCGAACGGGGTCCCCTCCCTTGGCGGGTAACACCTCTTGACAGCACCCCGCAGTAGTTGGGTGCAGCCAGGCAGCAGCACCGCCCGGCACCGCACGCCCCGCTCGTCGCCCCTCGCCCACAGCTTCGCTCACGTTCCGCAGCGCCTCTATCGCCGCTTCTCCCGGCCGGGCTGTGCTTCCCAGGGGTCACCGGCAGCACGGCAGGGCAGGGCGGAGGAGGCACCGGCCCAGCCCCGCCGCTCAGCCCCGCACAAGCCGCTCCGGTGACTCAGGGGCGGCCGTGCGGGACCACGGCAGCGCTACGGCGGCGCCGCCGTGCCCGCTTCCTGCGGTGCGTCCCTGCGCTTCCTCCCGGCAGGCTCCGGATTGTAGTCCTGGGTCCTGAGCGGGCGGAGCGCTCCGGCGGCTCTGGCTGTCACACGCCGAGCGCGCTGCCCCGCCGCCCCCGCCCCGTGCCGAGCGCTTCCACAACAGCTGCACCGGGAGCAGCCGGCATCGCAAGCGGGACGCGAGCGGGCGGCTGGCACGGGACGGAGGAGAGTTCACGTTTGGGGCGTGCTGTGTTTCATTAGCGGGCGGCGCAGCCCCGAGCCCGGGCAGCCCCCGCAGCCCCGGCCCGGCCCCCGGCGCGCCCCCTCAGCCCCGGTGCCCGGCGGCGCAGGCGCGGTGGCGGCCGGAAGCGGCGTGTGGGCCGGCCGGGCAGCGCTCCCGCCCTGCCTGCCCGTCCTGCCGGCCCGGCGCGCCGCGGCCCCGCCGCCGGAAAGATGCTGCCCCTCTCCATCAAAGACGATGAGTACAAGCCGCCCAGGCTCAACCTGCTCAGGAAGGTGTCGGGCTGGTTCAGGTGAGTAGCCCAGGGCCGGCCAGGCCGGGCGCTGCCGGCGCCGAGGCCGAGTCCCCGTGGAGGGGCTCTCCTCGCTGGTGCCGAGGCGCCCGGGCCGCCCGGCGAGCGGCTCCGGCCTCCTGGCGCTGTACGGGCGGCCGGTGACCCGCCGTGTGCTCCGTGCGCAGGTCTATCCTGGCGGACAAGACTTCCCGCAACCTCTTCTCCTTCCTCTGCCTCAACCTCTCCTTCGCCTTCGTGGAGCTGCTCTACGGCATCTGGAGTAACAGGTAACCGGGGCGGGGGCGCGGCGGGGCGAGCGTGGCTGCAGCGCGCAGGAAGCGGCGCGTCCCGCCCGGCCACTGCCACGTCTGCTCTCGGCGGGGCCGGGCCTCCTGGCCCGCCGTCCGGAGGGGCCGCTCGGCAGAGCCTCGGGGGCCGCTGGAGAGCTTCCCCCGACCGGGACCGCTCCCGTGGGCAGCGACCGGCGCCGCCGTCCCCTCTGCCGGGTCCCGGCGACGCGGCGGAGGCGCTCCGGCGGAGGGGGCGCGGTGCGGAGGAATGCTGTTTGGAGTTGCTGTTATGCTCGGTGCTTCGCTCAGGAGGAAACTTGGCCTTGGCCCGATTTACGGGACTCGGGGGCTGTAGCTGCTGTTGTCACAGAGATCCTCTTTGGGGAATGTGGCTTCATCTGTAGGTGGATACCTGGATATCGCTGCTTCAAACATCTTTGTGTCGAGGGAGAAGCAGGATTTGACACATCCTTGTATAGCTCAGCGGTACTTTACACAGCACAAAAATTCACAAGAGTGAAAAAAATGGAAGAGACTTGATTAAACTGCTACTGAAAAATCTGTAGCAAAATACAAGAAATGCAGAATAACTTCAGTACTGGTGTGCCGTACAAAGGTAGAGAACAGGCAATGGTGGTAGTATTGCTGTCATGCTTCATTGGTGATAGAGTAGTTGGTTTGTGATGATATTTCAGTCTCTGTTAATAGTTCGGTTCAGAATGCACTGGCATGGAAATGTCACTTAAGTCCAGCAGTGTCCTCCTTACCAAAAGCTGTAATATGAATGTAAATTACCAGAACTCTTATAAGTCCCGAGCGAATGCAGTGGTGTGGATTTGGAAATGGTTGCATCCTAATATTTGCAATGTTGTTCTGAATCTCTCAAATGACACTCTAAAATCCTTAACTTTGATTACAGTAATTGCTACTGTGGCACCAGAGAGCATGCAGCGCTGTCATGGGCACAGTCTATCCTTGGCAGCACTCAGACCATTTTGAATGTGTTTGGTTTTGGCTTTGATGTTGATTCACTTTGCAGTTGTTTGAGGATTATTGAATGCATAGTCTGTCCATTTGAGTATGGATTTTTTTTCTAATAACTCAGCAGATGTAAATATTTTTCTTAGCTGTTCTGATATAAAGAGCTTTGTGTTCATGTGACTTTGTTCTGATGTCTGTCTTTTAAACATAACATTTTGTTTTGGTAGTGTGACCTTAGAAAGTCCTGTATATGAGGTAACTAAACTGAGACACTTTAATGACACTCACAGAACTTTGTCACTAAAGAATATGGTGTATTGGAATTCAGAAGACACTTATTTTTGTTCATACTTGAGATTAAGAATTAGGATTTACTGCATAGCCATTAAATTATTCTTTTGTTTTAATTTCAAGTCACTAGTTTTGGGTATCTCTAAGTCCAGATTTTGGCCTAGAGCAAAACAGGGACTTAGCAAGTACTTCTTTAATAGAGAGGGGTAGCAGAGAATATGGTGAGGAATGTCTTCAGTCAAAGCAGACAGGTCATGCCTTGGGAAAGTGAACACGTAACAAGTAGCCCTATAAGGAGAACCATTTTGTCATTTTTTGAAGACACAGTGCCATTGCTCCTCACATGAGAAATTCTCCTGAGCTTCTTTTTGCTAAATAGGTTGTTTTCTGAACTCAGAAAAGAGTGTTGTCCAAATGCTTCTTGATCTCTGTCAGGCTTGGTGATGTGACTACTTCCCTGGGGAGCCTGTTCCAGTGCTCAGCCCCCCTCTGGGTGAAACACCTTTTCCTAGTGTCTGATCTAAACCTCCCCGAGTCAGCTCCGTGCTGTTTCCTGGAGTTCTGTCACTGGTCAGTCACGAGTTTGCTGGCTGAGAGCTTGTTTGCTTGTTTAAGGTTGAAATTTGCTACACGAGCACATTTGTTTAATTTGATGTTAAACTAAATCAGCTGTGGAAGTGACTTTATTTAGACACAGTGTGTTTGAGTACAGGGTTTCTACTAGTTTATATTCTGGATGGTGTGTGTGGTTCTGCAGGAATTCTTGCATGCATCTCGTGTTGCTGGTGCTTCACTGTATTGGTGGTCATTGACTGAATCGCTTGATCACTTTGGTAATCACTTTGCACCCGTTTTTTCTAAGGTCTTGTTGCTTTACAGGTCACTTTTAAAAAGCCTCAGATGAAATGAGATTGGTCTCTTACCAGGCTTCCTGCCATTTGTGCAGCTCAATGACTTGTAGCTGTACCTATGCTACAGAGCGTGGTTATGCTGTGAGGTGAATGGCATTGCAGATGCAGTCTGCTGAGCCCTGCTGATAAATCCACGTGCCTCTGGCCACCTGGAATTGTTAGCTTAGGTCTTGAAAGCAGCACAGCTCTATTGGTGTTGCACTTAAGGTAAGTCTTGCCTTAGTGAGATTTGCAGGTGTGAGCACAGTGCCATGGCAACTTGCTGCATTATTTCTGCTTTCAGAACTTGTATGGGATTCTGTTAGAGTAGCAGTCCTTATACAATTCTCTTTCTCAGAAGGTTCTATAAAACCAAAAAAAAAACCAAAAAACCCACCCAAACCCAATCACCTCAGAAAACAGCTCTCTCTGCTTAGTAATGCTTATTCCTTCCATTTCACAATCAGTACAGCTTAGGGTTACTGTCACTAATTATCTTCTACCTGAATATTTGATGTACTTTGTGGTGGATTTTTTTCCTCACTGGATCTTCTTAACTGCTCAGAACCAAACCTAAAATGAGCTGTTTCCATAAAGATGTTGCCTGATTTTGGGGAGGAGGAAGATATCACCAAAACTGTTCAAGAATTCGATGGCGAATTCCATTTTGCTGCTTCATAGGCATCCAGCCTCTATGGGTCTTGTTTTAAAGTTTGTTCAGAACAGCTTCATCTCTCCTGCTTTGGTGGCTACAGCACCTGAGGACAATATACCATGCCATCATCCCTCTGCCTTAAATGTTAAGTTGTGTGTACGTATAGCTCTGTATGTGTCCATAAAGTATATATGTAAATATATAGAGCAAGACACTTGGTCTTTCCTCTCCTTCAAATCCACTTGTTGAGTGTTTCATCTGAAACACTTAATTTTAATCTTGTAATTGTTTTCAGTAAGGCTGAAATAGTTTGGCTTTGTAATGTGAAGTGGTTGGAACTTTGGCTAATGAAACTTTGTATTTCACTTCAATGTGAGTATGTGTCTATCCTCCAGAACTTGTTAAACCAGTAATTGCTTCTTGGGCTTCAGTTTCCAAGAACTGAGTTGTATATGTAATTATTCTTAGATAATGAGAATGGGGAAAGAACTGGGAAAGTGGAACTTTTGGGATTGTTTTGGGATTGTTGATTAACAATTGCTTAACAGTACCTCTCTATCAAATGTCCTTTAAAATATGAAGCATTGTTTTTTGGTTTCAATGCACACAGTTCCCTGCAGACTTACAGAACCTGTTCATGAGTAATTTGATAAACTTTGGCAGTGCTTGTGTGTAGTGTTAACCCCAGTTTACCTATAGCCTACAAGCTGATAAAAGTTCTACTGACTGGCTAACTCATGAACTAATTTAAGTAGCTTTGAACCTCTTAGCATGCTGGTTCACTTTAACTGTGTTTCTCAATCAAGATTGACAAACAGTTGTGCATTGGTCTTTCAAATAAGCCATTTAAGATGTGGTCTCTCACCCTCTGATTCCTTCAGCCTCTAGATCTAAGAGGTGTGTATGTCCTAGTCAGTGCCTTGCCACTGCTAAGGCGAAGATTTAAAGTTGAATTATGTTGATGAGAGATGTGGCTGTGGGTACATCTACTCCAGGGATTTTGGTTTGTGTCTATGGAAACCACCTTTCACTATCACCAAAATCATAGCTAGGAGGATTTTTTTGCCAAGCAGTTTTCCAAAGTGCCTTCTGTAAAGCTGACAGAAGCAGTTTTGGCATCATATTTATGTGATAAAGCATGGATTTCTCCTCTGTGCCAGCAAAACCATGCCTGAAGCTTAGAAGCACAGCATATTCTGCTAGTGTGTAAAAGATTAATGTCTATGGGGTTTTTATGTAACATATGGAACATAACCCTTTTTTCCTGTTCTCTTTCAGTTTAGGTCTGATATCAGATTCTTTTCATATGTTTTTTGACTGTACTGCTCTCTTGGCTGGATTAGCAGCTTCAGTTATTTCAAAATGGAGGTCAAACGATGCTTTCTCGTATGGGTAAGAAACTTCAGGTGTTACCTTAATGTATTACAGTAAATGCTTAGGCAGTTATTTTTCACTTACAAACAAAAGCTTTTTGCTGAACATGGAAAAACTATGTTGAAAGTGAGGGTTTTTATAAGGTGAGCTATGTAAACATCTAAGTTAATAGAAATAATAAAAATATGAAGGCATTGCTTTTGGGAAGAAGGTTTATCACTTCCAAGATCTCTCTGATCATACTAGTGGAAACAAGTTAGAGAGCAGAAAGTTGCCCTGCATTGCCATGTATTAATGAGACCAGTGAGTCACAAGCAGCCACATCCTGGGTTTGTCCTCACAGTGCAGTGAGGAGCATTACAGGGATTCCCACACTGCTGGTGTCCCACTTCTCCTTTGGAACAGAAAGTTACAACTGAAAGGATCCAAATCTCAGTGGTGCTGCATTGCAGATTATAAATCATGACTCTTGGAAGCAGCAGGATTGGGGAGTGTGACTGCCATTTACACAGATCCTCAAAGCTGAGGTGTGTCATCCCATCCTGCCCTTGGTGGATTTATCTGCTGCAGCTGGCCTTTGGCAGGCACTTGGTTCCAGTGAACATGGCAGCTGTGCCCTATAAAACAATACTGGTGGTACCATATCATTAACTGGTAATACTGATTAACAGCAAATTACTTGTAACATGGGCATTCCCTATAGCTTTATTGGCCTGTCAGCATTAGCTTCAGCTGCCTTGCTTAAGTGTGGCTCATATAGTTTGAAACTTAAAGCACAGTTTAATTTAGGTGGAAGCTCCAGTGTGCATAGAAATCAATTTAGAGAGAATTGTACCATGAACTAATTGCAGTGAAAGCACGTTCTGTATTAATCACTGCTGAGCATTTAAACAGCTGGTGTTCCCTTTATCAGAGAACAGCCACACTTTATTAAGCCTCATGTTTGCTACATTGAAATTACTTATTATTCTAATCTGGCAGTTTGTTATTGTCAAAATTTGATGTTTGAAATAATTAATTTCTACTTAAAACTTTTACTGAAAATCCACCTTCTAGAGGGGAAGCAAATTAATACGTGTCTGTTTGATATTGAACATAACACCAGAAAACTTTGATTAGGTTTCATGTGCTTATCTTAGTTTGTGGCTTCTGAATTACATTTATATCATAACTTTGAGTAGACATAATCTTAAATGAAAAGATTTTGACATACTGAAAGATTTCTTTCATCTAGATCAGAGAATGGCTGATCTGGATCAGGCAGTTTCTGTCAAAGTACAGCATGGTCAGTTTTATATACTAATCTGTAATTTATATGCCATCTTCCATTTAGCAAATTTGTGTAATCTAACTGTTTGAGAACTAGAAGATTGCACTCCAATCTCTTGAAGTTCTAATTTTCAGCATTTAAATAAAAGTGGTAATATCTGCTATTGCTTTTTTTGTCTCTTGCAGTTATGTTCGAGCAGAAGTACTTGCTGGTTTTGTAAATGGCTTATTCCTCATCTTTACAGCATTCTTCATTTTCTCTGAAGGTGTTGAGGTATGGGATGAAATCAATTGCACTATTTCATTCTATATTTAATTTGGATAACCATTTCTGGTTTTATTAGGAATAAATTATTGAAATTAATAAATTGAAAATTTAAATTATGTTCATAATTGGTTAGAAATCTGATTTGAACAGAGAATAGGGCCATCTGAAATTACTGTTGAATGACAGAGAAACTCAGCTTTTTCAGTTTCTGTACTAGCTTCTTAAATAGTATGTTTTGTTTATGTGTAAAGATTCTGTGAGGTAGAGCCTGTCCTTTTTTTATATTAGGTCTATAATGTCTCATTGAGAAAAATATTCCAGAGGAAGTAGGGTAAAAAAGAATTGAAAAAAATCAATCTAGATTTGAGAATTTCTATAAAATGTCATAATTTGTTCTGAATCTTCATTTCATTCCCCTTGTTGCCTCACCTCTCTAAGGAGAAAGGAAGAAATGGCATTCTAGACTCTTAGAAGTCTTATAGGTGACTTAAGCAATCTACATACTGCAACAAACCTGAATATTTTCAGATGGTGTTGAGCCACATCCCACAGCATAACCAAATCTTATGATAAAACTGAGCTAGACTCTCAGAATATTCTACTGTACTTTCACAGCTTTAATAATAGAACTTTATTTTCAGACACTGAGAGTTGGTCTGTGTATCATCCCAAAAACTGGAAGTCCTGAGTAATTTTAAATTATGTCTATATATATGTTATGTATGAGAATGCTCCTGTATCTAAGTAGTTTTGTGGTGCCTTTTAATAATGTAAAGGGACTGTAAAACTCTACATTTGCTTTTTGGTTTGTTTCATTTTTTTTTAGAGAGCCCTTGAGCCTCCCGATGTGCATCATGAGAGACTTCTTCCTGTTTCTATACTAGGATTCATTGTAAATCTGATAGGAATATTTGTTTTTCAGCATGGAGGTCATGGGCATTCACACAGCTCTGGTAGGATGTAACTTCAGTACTGTTTCCTTTCTTGGCAGCCTCTGTTCCAGGGCTTTATTATGCCCCAGTGAGAGCCCCAGTTTTACATTTGATGTCTTCTTCATGGCAATCCTAGCCAATTGTGTATGTGACCTATTGCTATGTTGACTCTGGTGTTTTATTACCAGCCCTGGCATGCCACTGTTGTAGTTCTCATGTTAATATCCATTAACTGGAACACCTAGGAGTCCAGAAACTGCTTTCTGGAGTTCATGCACTCTCCTGCACCTTATTGAAAGAGATTTGCAGAGCATCTTTTTGGACAAACTTAAGCTGGGCTTGAGCAAGGTGCTGGCTGGAAAATTTAAAAACAGTATTTGAACCAAATTTTAAGCATGAGATGATTCTGCTTCCGATGTTTCTCAACTTAGTGTCTTTTGAATTGAAATGCAGAATTTATTTGCCTAAATACACATGGTAAACACTCTGGGTTTTTTTCTGCAAAGCCTGTGGGCCTCTCTTTGGGCTTAACATTTAAACTTACATAGACTGGTGGAAGACCATAGTCTTTAAGCTTTAAGCAATAATCTAAACTTGAATTTTTAATCTGCACATGGCAATAAATTTCTGCTTTCTTAAAACAACTATTTTTAAAGTGCTTGTACCTAATGAAGTGTACATTTTTCAAATTGTACTAGAAGTCTAGCACAACAAGTCTCAGAAGTGGGAATGTGTAAAAGCACTTGACTTCTCAAACCTGGTATATTTCATGTATCTTTATATATAATATGTCTGCACAGCAGAGCCATAGATGACAAACACCTTGTGTTAAGTTTCTTATTTAAAGCCATATCTTAAGATGATCTAAAAGATGAGTAGGTTTTGAGTAGCTGAGAAATAAATATAAGAGTACTTTTACTCATCATTTATGTACTCATAAATGCACTCTGATGGTGATATTTGTTTACAGGGCATGAGCACAGCCATTCTCTGTTTAACGGTGGTCTCAGCCATGGGCACAGTCACAGAGATCATGGACACAGCCACGAACATAAACATTCCCATGGACACACTCATGGTCATGGCCATGGACACTCTCATGGTCAGGATTATTGTCATGGTAAGTACTGGGTCATCCTGACTCCATCTAAATCTGCAACTAATAACTTACTGAAAAATAAAAAGAGCATGTTGTCAGCTTGTTGTGATCATACATGGAAGTAGCTTCATTAAATGTCTTCATTAAATGCTCTGCCACCATCATGTTTTGTGACTCATTTTGTGTTTCACTTGCAGTAATTTCCACGTTAGTTTTTAAAGATTTTGCTTTACCTCTGGTTTTTGAGTGTGTGCTGCAATGTTGTGTGTTGGCAAAAGATGAAACAGTGGTATGCTATTGTAATAGAGTGAAATTAGTCAGGTACCCTGTTTCAGTTTTTTCATTAAAACCAATTGACAAAGTTGAGCTGTTTTGCTACTGTTCTCCATTTGTTTAATTTTACAGCTCAAGGTATTAGGAAAAATCAACCAGTGAACTTCGGTACTTATGGATTATTAGTTGTACTTGGTTTGTGATCTCAAATAAGACTTTCCCCTTTTTGTGTAGTTGTTATCTGTTTTAAGATGGTTATGGAAAAGATACTTGTTATGTTAGCTGTGCTGAAATCTTTTCTATGAAGGCAGACAATCTGAGAAGAGCCATTCATGTTAAATATGGTCAGTAGCCTTCACTATGGGAGAAGAGCTTGTGTAGGTAGCACCCATTTGAAACAATGCAAATGAAAGCCTTGTGGTAGTGCAGGGTTGCCAGTCCTTCCTAAGCAATAAAATTAGATCTGACATGACTCAAAATGTGCACATTCAGAGCAGGGAATAGTGTGGGAACTGGCAGACAGGAGGTGACAAAGAGTATAAAAATATTTACTTGTCCCTTCCTTGCTATTCTTAGAAAATTGGTGTCTGTCTTCCAGTAGTTCTCCTGGAATTTGGTTGGAAAGCAGGAGCTCCCTGCTTCTGCCTCTTCCTTGCTTTCCATGTGGCCCCCACCCTTGCAGAGCAGTGAATGTAGCTATCTGTCTTGTGCAGTTTGATATTCAAACCAGCTGTTGTGTAAATTGTTGTATATCTTCACTAGAAGCCTTTTACTATCTTTTAACAAGTTTTTCTTAAAATATCTTTCAGATTAATGCTACAGAGGCATTAATCTGCTTGGATGAGAAGATTTTTTTACTTACTTGCTCCTTCTCCAAGTCTTATCCTTGTTTTTTTTACATTAGGTATAAATGCTTGCTTAAGTGAAGTATTTCTGATTAGCAAATTTATTTGAACCTACTCTTCTACCTTCTGTTCTTGAGGGGTTTGTGGGTGTGTTTTAATTAAGAACAAATGTAGATATTTTATTTTCATATATACCTATGTAGAAATCTATTGTGTAAAGAGACGTTGTATTTTTAAAAATGCATTTTAAGACTTAATTGCTGCATTAAAAAAACAATAGCTTGAGTAAAAGCTGGTCATTGGGAGCAGCCTGTCTGTCCAAGACATTTCTGAAAGGGAGAGTGTAACAGAAGGGCCACTAGAGAGAGCCTTTGTCGTGGTTAATGTGTCAATAATTGCCTCCACAGATGACCATTCCCTTGAAGTAATGGCTGGATCCAGCAAACAGATTTTACAAGGTACGATGAGAATAAGTATGATGTTTTATTGGTTTTAGCACAGTCTGCCTGCCTGGGTCTGTCACACCTCTGTTTTAGAGTTCCTCTGGAGAAATGCCATGTGTTTCTTAAAGCAGCTATTTAATGAAGTTCCATTTCCCCTGTAAACAGCTCTGCTGTATGCCGTGCATGACTAGGTGTCAAGACATTGACAGAAGTCTAAATGTGATGCACTGTCAACACAGTTTAAAAGAGACATCCCAAAAGCTGGGATTCAGCTTCTGTTATTGATGCTGAAAAATCAATGAAAAACTAGGAAAGAGTGCTTAAAAGCAGAAACCTAAGGAGCCTAATTGCAGTATATATTCTATAACATGAAGATGCAGATTGATGTAATTGTTAAAGAGTACCTGAGCTTAAAACTTGGCATTTCATCAAGCTCTTAAGAGTTGGTTTAGAGCAGATGGTAATGCATCTAAATTTCTTGAAGTACTGTTGGAGTCCCTGATCTCCTGAACATTATAGATAATTTAGATGTTGGTTTTGAGCTTTGGTTGGCTGTTTGTTGGTTTTATTTAGCTTTTTTTTAATGTTCAGAAGTTAAAGGGAGACAATTATTAGATGTAGGAGGTAGTAATTATTTGGCATACCCAAATGTATATAGGGTTTTCTCTTATTGGATGATCTTCTGGCTTGTTTGTAGTCCTTGAGAAGGAGCATTTACAAGTTCTCCCAGAATTTACAGTACACTGTAATATGTATATTCAGTATTTCAGTTGAAGATATTTCAAAGTCAGTCTTTTTGTGAAACACTTATTTTAATTGAAGCACATTAAAAAGACCTGATTTTATTTTAATTTTTCAATATTGAGGGAAAAACCCCACCAAGTGATGCAAAGACAGTCACTCTCAAGACAGTCACTCACAAGCAATCACATCCCACCAGCAGATCAGTGCCTAGGGAGGTCTGAGCAGCAGAAAGACAGCACTAGTGTCATTGGGGAGCGTGGTGTTGGATGGTATGGAATGTCCCTCTGGTCCATTTGGATCAGCTGGCCTGGCTGTGTGTCCCCCCAGCATCTTGCCCACCCCAGCCTTTCTGATGTGGGGTCATGAGAAACAGAAGGCCCTGATGCAGGCTGCTGTGGAAAACCCAGCTCTGCCCCAGCCAGAGTCAGTACAAATGCAGAAATCCCCAAAGAGCTGGTTTATAGTGGTGTGTTGTTTTTACAAAAGGGGATTACCTGTCTGGAGAATTGCATTCAAAAAGCTGTTTCTGAATGATTTCCAGTCACTGCCAGCAGAGAGCTCCAAAGGCTTAAACTTTGACTAGCTGCAAAGTATGTGTTTCTTTGTACTTGAAGGAAGTGTTACTCTTCAGAATAAGAGTAAGGCTTCTCATGTCTGCAGTATTGTTTAATTTTCAAAACTATTTGTCTTGGATTTCTTTGCCAAATAACTTCTAGAAGGTGTTGTCAATTAAACGTTAGCACATGTCAAAGCTTTGCAAAACTGTTTCTGTTAACAGTCTGTCCATCTTATACAGACCTCACTACTGTAGCCATCAGGGAACAGGAGTTTCTGTACTATAATAAGGGTGAATGAAGAAAGTCTAGCTGCAGCTGTTAATCACTGTTCAAGTTAATAGCCTTGCTATGAAATGCCCAATACTGCAAAGTGCATAACAGAATGTAAATTCTTCAAAGGGCCTATATTCTACAAATACATTAAAATCTTGGTGAGTTTGACCCAAAACTGACCACAAATATAACAAGTATAGATCATATTATCTAGTTCTTGAAACTTCTTTTTGTAAAACATCTCTGAAATGCTCCATTAGCTTTAAGAACAGCAAGTTGTAATGGTATCACTTGCTCTCTTACAGGTGTATTTCTGCACATTGTGGCAGACACGCTGGGAAGTATTGGTGTAATCATATCTGCTATACTGATGCAGAACTATGGGCTAATGATAGCAGATCCTATTTGTTCAATGCTGATAGCACTACTTATAGGTGTAAGGTAAGTGTTGCTATCACTGGTATTTGGTAGGATTTTGATGCTAGTTACAGCAGAAATTGCAGCTCAGAAGGAAAGGGTGTTTTGTTATGCTAATGGCTTACAACATTTGCTTTTCTTCCAAGAGTGGTGTGTTACCTCTGTTCTGTACAGCCATTCTGCTGAGCTCTTACATGAGCTATCTTTCTTTTCCTTTTTCTACAGCTACAACTTTCCCTCTAAAATCTGCATATTTTGTCCTTCTTTGCATAATACTACAAAAATGTCTTTCGGGTTCAAACTGTAGAAAGCTTCATCTCTGTATTTAGTACATGCTTATATAAACCAATGTACTCCAGTAAATGGAGCAGAATGGTTTCAGGGCAGCAGAGTTGAGACTGCTGGCACAGGATGTGCCCTTGTCCTTCACAAATAAAGGCTACTAGGTTTTAGTTTTCTTTTCTTATATCAACAAGAACTGTCTTTTATTTTGCATTTGCACTCTGAGATATCCTTATTTCTTTTAAGATCTGATGGAAATGCTTCACGGACTTCTGGATTTCACAGTTGTTTCTTACCAAGGTGACTGTGACTGTGAAGCTGTTTGGATTAGACTGGTCAAGCAAATATTTCATTGAGTGATGTTATGAGGCTTTTTTGGCAGCAGTTTCAATGGTGCCATAGGGCAGTGTGCCACAACTCCACTTACAACCTAATAACTCACCATTGTCTGTTCAGCAGTGGTGAGTGTCATCTGATGAAGTGCAGCTACTTCTGCTCATACCATGTATGACATGTTTATGGCTTGTGCATGGCAGCATTCACAGGATTATTGATGTGAATCTCCCTGCTAGTCAAAGTAGGGCAGACACAACGCCCACAGAAATGTTTCTGCTAGAAATCACTATTTAATCATCACTTTAATTTGAACTTCAGAGATTTTGACTTCAACATTCTGTAATTTCATAAATGACAAATTATTACAAGCTACTTCTAGTACTGAAATCTCAAGAAAATGGGAAAGAAAATGTGCAAGTTTCCAAGGTAGAGGTAATAGCTGAGTAAAAGGTTTCCATACACTTTGTATTTTAAGGGTCCAGCTTTGTGTACAGCAGAAAATACCACATGAATGACAATTCAATTTTTTTCCTCCATTCATACAGTAGTTAAAATTATCCTGAATTTCATAATAGAGGTGTCACATAATGTTGTTTATGGGTTTTCTAGCACAGATAGAAGAAACTTTTGAGACCCATGTTCTATGGTGAAAATACTGGAAAAGTTCACTCTTTGATGTGTCTTTTGATCTTAGGCCACACTTCAGCCTGTAACATTATTTTGTTGGTCCACAGTGTTATAAATGATCAGTGGAATAATTCTGCTATCAGTGCAGTGAGCTGTAGTTGTTGATAGTTGATAGAAGCAAGCCTGTATTTCTTGCCATCTGACACATGCTGGCACATCAGTGGAGCAAATGCCAATTGCAGGGTTGGCTGGTTTTATGTTGGTATTTTATTTGTTTTCTAAGCAGTCCAGCAGACTGAACTATTGATGGTTTTGCTTGAAATGCACTTTAGGATCATAAATAAGATTACTGGCAGTTTCAGATGGCTGTTGAGAACCTGAGTCCCTTTTTGTGGTGTTTGATTTTAGTAATCTTCATTGACAGTTCTGGACATAAAACCACTGTTAATTTTGCCTTATTCTTCACTATGCTGTGTTTGAAGTGTCCTTTAAGAATTGGTGCAAAAGGGTTTTCAGATTTTCCCATAAGGTGGTCTTCTGTAACAGTAATATGGGAGCCCAGGTCATGCTTGCTAGGATGTATAACAGTTTTGTACTTTATCTTTTCAAGTCACCTAAATCTAAATTGGTTTTATATTGAGTGTTTGCTTGCTTCAGTGTTGGGCAGCTCTCTCTGGTTTATTGGAGCCTTGCCTGCTGCTATTAGTAGATTTTCTCTGTTCAGGTTTCTGAAATAATGGCCACACTTGCCAAAGAAATCACAAAAATACCTGCATAAGATGACTAAAAATGTCACGGGTGCAGCATAAAGCTGTACAGACTCCCCTTTATAACCTGTTCTGCCTTGTGCATGTGCAGAAGGGTTAAGCAATGCTTCTTCAGAGGAGTCAGGCAGTGCTTTTAAATCAAATGGTTGAACCTTCTTGTAGACAACATCTCTAATTAGTGCAAATTGTCAACTGCTGCCACAGTTGCTCTGTTGCTCCTGTGATCCCTTGCTAAGGGTGCTCTAGGGTGCCATTCTCTGCCTAACTCCTCATGAGTTAGCTCAGAACATTCTGACTGCACAGTGAAAATCCCATGGGGGATCTGAATTTTCCTGGATGCAACCACTAATATCTGATGATTCTTTCTTCAATTACTCTGTACTATCTCATGCAAGCATAAATGGGACATGCTCAAAATAGATGAGTCTGTTTTACCAGCATTTTAATTTTTTTTTTAACAAAAGCTTGACTATTTCATTGTAGTTTAGGCTGACACTGTTCAAGTTTTTTCCTAAGTGTTGTCCACATAATTATAAATGCCTTGAATCAATAAACAATTTCCCAAGTCTCTGAACTGCTTTTAGTATTTAAAACTAAATACTCATTTAGTTTTAACATTAGTATTCTAAGTCTTATTCTGAAATGTTGAAGCAATTTTGGTATTTCAGTCAGCTACGTGAAACTAGCCATGCAAAAGCCACAACTCTGGTATAAATCAAGTTTGTCCTAAACCACTATTAGACCCACATGTTTCTAGAAAGGCACAGTAGACTAAATCTGATACTAGATTGGACAGAGCATGCAGACTGCATATTAAGTGGTCAAAGAAATGAGGCAATTTACTTCAGTCATTTAGTGAAGTTGTTTCCATGGGTTACATAATTTTTTGCATAAAATCTTGAGCTGTTTGAACATGATATAATATGAAAGAGCTTTGGGGGAGGGTGTGCCAGTAACATTTAAGTCCTTTCATGTTTGGGGCATAGCAGTATTAAAAAAATTACTTTTTTTAAATGAACTGCTGCATTCCTTAAGATTCAGAAGGAATTTTCTATAGCAAAACTCCTCCAAACTAGTATGTCTGTTGTTGGAGTTATTTTAAGCCATTATTGCTAAATGTAAAGCACTACCTTTATTTACAGGGTAATGGTACCTGCCAGCCTTGCTTGAGAATCAAGGTACTACATTGTTATGGGGACAAAGAATTCAAAATCTGTAAAGCATGTGTTAAACCTGTGGTCCTTGTCTTGAGCAAAGTTTGCAGTCTGATTGGAATTGCAATTGCCTAATTAAAAATATTCATTCAAGTTCTGAAACAGCCCAACAATCTTCACACTGCAGATATAGATGGTGGCTGGGAAAAAACCCCAGAATTTGGAAAAGTGGCTGTAGATTTTGAGCTGCAGTATTTGAAGAACGCTAGCTGGTCTTGATCCTTAGCTTTGTGTACCTTCCACAAAACCTGTCACAAATACACAAAGCCCCTATTTTCTGTAGTGCTGAGAGCACTGACTGGATTTCCTGCTGTGCTCTGAGTGCAGTGTCTGTCTGAGGGGTTCTTTACCTGGAGTTGTTTTCAGCTTTGCAGTCCAAGGTCACGCCAATGCTGGGGTCTTGCTGGCTGTGCCTACAGAAAGAGTGGCACAAATAGGATGGCACAGAATGGGCATGAGTGTTATCTGAATGTGATGCAGGTTAAATGAGAGTCTGATGCTTTCACTATTAATTTTTAATCGATCCATGTGTAGTGGTGGCAGGCTGTATTTCTCAGATTCATGTCAATAGTTAGTTCATTTTGATTTATTTGAACGCCTTTCACTTCTCTAACAGTGTATGTGCAAATGTCACGTGCTGTAACAATAGCTGCCTTTGCTTTTCTGGCTTTTGTAGAGGATATGTTTTTATTCCAAATTCTTGCTATGGGTTAGTTCCTCTTTCAAATTTTATTGTCTTGTAAAAGATTGTGATATTTTACATTTAAGGCTTGGTAATCAGAAAGCCATGGAATTGTGTCTGCTTTAATAGCAAAGCTTAATGACTGCTAATGCATGAGAATTCCTTCCACTTGGTGAGAATTCAGCATTGCTTGTTTTCCTCAATAGTCTTGTAGATTAAAACAAACATGGGGGGAAGCAGCAGTGTAATAGCTGCTGTGGAGGCAGCCACTTTTTTTTTCCACTAATGACTAAGCCAAAGAAAAGAGAAAGCTTGGTCAAAATCTCTAACTGTATTTTCAGCCAGCTTGCTTTTGTCATCTTCCCTTATGTTTTCTTCAGTCACATGAAGTGGAGCTGATATTTCTAGGGCCTCCTAGTGATTAAGTAATACTGGTTTTAGTTAATGTTTGAGAAAAGAGCATACTCTGTGGAGTTTTGGTTTTTAAATTAAAGGTTTTTACTTCAGTAGTATGCATGAAACAATGGAAAACATCAGGCATCATAAAATTTGATTCTGTTGTTTGTTGTGCTAGTTGGGCTTACAGTAAGATACCATGTGAGCTAACGCCCCTTTGGATGCAGAGGGGCATCCACAGGCCTCCTGTGCTCTGAGCAGCATTTGTGAGGGCCTGTCACATCACTGCAGCTGTTTTTTGGCTTTTCAGCTTTACAAAAGATCAACTTTGTATCTGAACACTGGCTCTAAGATACAGGAAGAAGGTGGGACCTGGGATATGCCTCAACTTTCACCAACAGTATCAAGCCATCCTGATTTACTCTATTCTTTGGACTTTTAAGATGTTCTTGTTTCATAGCCTCTTCAGATCTACTTTACAATTAATTTCTCTTCCATCAGATAATGTACATCAGTTTTATTAGTGTAAATAATTTGTACATATTAGACATATTTGTTAGCTTTCTTTCATGGCTATTCTCACACTTTGTGGTATGTTTCAATTAAAAGGTAGACTACTACATTCTCTATTCCGTTAGTTGTTTCCCTGTGAAAAAATATTCAGCCTGTATGTGTGTGGTTTTTGAAACCTTTGGATGCATATGCTAGACAGGCCTTGTTAAATTTATGGGAATGGAATAGTGTTCACTTGCATTCACTTCGCATCCTGAACATGTGTATTGGTCTTTCAAGGTTTTATTGAGAAACAAACCTGCATTTTAAATAGGGAGTTAAACTGAAATCAATTCACCACTGGAGTGTGTTGGCAGCTCCAGCTCCCTTTGATGTAATGCTTGTGACATGGACGTTATTTAGTAAGATGGGTCCATTAATAAGAGAACCCTTTTTCCCTAAACTTCTGTAATCCACTGTAGAATGTGACACTCCAATTAAGCTTCCTTTAGACAGATTGACAGTTATTGCATTGCTAAATGTTTGTCTTGGTGACAGGTCTAGTTTAGGCAACTCCTGCTTGCCCCTAATTGCTTCTTCCTATTTCTGAAGCGATGCCTTGGTGGCAGTGCAAACGTGGGAGGCCATGTGCTGGAGGGCACCAGGCAGTGAATTTGGCTGGAACAACCTTTGTGTCTGCAAGAAAGTTTCATTTTAGGGTAGAGTTTTTCCAGGGGTTCATTAGACAAGAGTCACGCAGCCTCGCGCTCCCTCCCACCCTGGCCAAGGTTTAGCCAGGGAGGGAGCTGAGCAGTCCATGAGCCAGCACTGCCTCATGTGCAAATGGAAACACTTAAAAAAATGATTGGGTCATCTGTTCACATCTGCAAATACACAGCTGGTCTGTGCCATGCACTCCACGTCACTTCATGAGATTTTAAACAAAGGTTCTGCAGTGTCCTTTAACAACTGCTCCAGTTAATCTCACAAATGTTTCAGGTGTGCCTTTAATCCCATTACTCCATGTACTGCAGCTGTGATGGCAGTGCTGAACTCTGAAATGAAGCTTACAGTTTCTGCAATATATAATCACTTTCAGTCCAGAATGTTAGGTGACTTGCATGCTCTTGAAATTAAATTGCTCTTTAAACTTTGCTGTTGGGCTATAGATATTTGTCATCCACTTGAAAATTTTAGAATGCTCTACTGAACCAGACAGGATGCACTACTCCTAAACAAAAAAATCACCATGCTGAATACTTAGTAAGAGTATAAGCTCTTAGTGGTAGCTTCAGGGCATAGGTTTACTTCTCTCCTGGTTTTATTAAAAAACAAAAAGTAGTAATAATAAAAAAGGGTATTAAATGTCTTCTTAGTTTGCTGATTAAAGACCATTTGGCCAGGAGGGAACCTCTAATTGCTTCCAAATGTTTAACCCTTGAGCTTGGATGAGACCCTACACTTAGCTCACTTCAAGAACACGCCAAGTTGTCTGTTTCTGACAAAATAACTCTGTTGTAGCTGGACTGTTCCACACTAATTTTGTTTTATGATTACCCCATTATTATCTTAGTTCATAAGAAAAATATGCCTTAAACCAAACACAAAAGCAAACCCAATTTCAGTTGAGTATTTTTATGGTTGCTTGTGAATGATTTGCCATTGAAGTTGGTTTTGAGCTATACAGCTGCTTTGTTGTATAACTTCCAAGACACCAAGAGATATCATCTCAAATCCCGTGCTTAAACCATTAATCTTTTGTGACTGACCGCCAGTTGACTCTGGAAACCGTGGGGGAGAAATAATCTTGCCTTTGATAGGACACCATAGCAATTTTGTCAATCCTTTTATTTTCTGTACTGGGTTCTCATGGCAACTTCCTCAGCTTCTGATGGAAGAGCTAGAGAAAAATTTCTCAGCATTAAGGAATCTTAGGTTTCTCCTTGCACCTTTTGAAAATGTAATAATAGCTAATTTCCTTTTTTCTTTCTAGTATTGTTCCACTTTTAAAAGAGTCCATTGGGATTTTGATGCAGCGAACTCCTCCTTCCCTGGAAAATGCCCTGCCTCAGTGCTACCAGAGGGTGAGCTCTTAAGCTGGTCTTGTTCTGACTGATCAAGCTGCTGACTGACTGAGCCTCAGCTGTGTGTATGAGGATATTTTATGATGTTTTTCCAGTAAAAGGAATGATTTTATGATGTTTTGCCAGTCAAAGGTACCCTAGAATACACAAATGGAGGTACCAGTTTAATTAATAGTTTCCCAGAGTTCTGAATTGCCTGTAGCTTCACCTCAGTTTGTGTTTTAAAAATTTCCCATGTTAGGTCAGTAAAACAGATCCTGAAGCTATTCTTCCCAAAGTACTTTGTGCTTATACATAATATTGGAAGTGTATTTATAAGAATACAAAGATTACTCTGGATTTGACCTGTTCTCCTACTTAACTTTTCTATTAGTATGCCCTGAAGTGCCTTTGCAAAGTTAGTACAAAGCACTTGAAGGAGTGCTGCCTTTCCTCAGGAGTTACAGGCTGTAATCATCACATGGAGGGTTTGCTGAAAGTGGAAAGAGGAAAAAACAAAGGGATTGGCAGGACACATCTGAGCCCTCACAAAAATGTAAATTATATATGAATATATTTCTGTTAGAATTAGAATCTCACAAATTGTTTCATGGCAAAATTTGCACATTTGAAAAAGGGCAGTTTTAACTGGATTCCATCTCAAATCCAGTACCTTACTTTTCTCTCATGAGCACCTCTATTTTCAGAAATGGTTTCATTATGTCTACATGTAGAATGTAAATGCAACAGGGTACAAAATCACAACACATACAGAAAATCACGACACACACGAATCCATATGTTTCAACTTCCTTCAGTAACTGAGATAGTAAAAAAAAAATTTTGGTAAAACATGACAAAATGCACAGTGAACTTGAAGTAAAAGAATGCATTGGCTTTTATAATTCTTCCTGTAAAAAACCATAGTACTGGAAATATTTTCTGAAATACACTTTCTAAAATTTGCCTCTTGTTTTAGGTGCAGCAGTTGCAAGGAGTCTACAGTTTACATGATCCACATTTCTGGACCCTCTGTACTGATGTTTACATAGGGACTTTGAAGTTACTAGTAGCTCCTGATGCTGATGGGAGGTGGATTCTAAGCCAGACTCACAATATTTTTACTCAGGTATGTCTTATCAGTGGAAGTCACATCTCCAAGTGTAAATAGCTTGATGTGACATTGTAATTCTTATCAAGAAAGGTTAAATATTTCTGAGTTTGGTATCTGTTTTGAAAAGCCTCCCTGCTCCAGCTGTATAGAAAAATTTCAAAATACTCAGCAGTGTAGATGGAATTAGTGTATCTCTCTGCATTAGTTTTTCATGCCACTTTATGAAAATAACAGATATAATTGTCTCAGGTGTATCAAATGGGGTTGATCTATATTGACCTATAAGGAGCTAAGAAAACAGATGAGGCTTCTCTTAGGATAGAGTTTCTCACCACAGACTACTCAGGCTTTTCACTGCATTGGCAGCTTGCACATGTGATGGCTTTCTGGATAGGTTCATAATGTAAACTGGTTTGAACAACAAGTCCCATGTTATGCTCTTGTGCTTAGCTCCATTTTAAACTGACAGTTCTTCAGCCAGCTTGCTTTTCAGGAAGTTAAACTGGCACAAAAGAAAGTAAGAATTGCTTTTGTGCAGCTTCACATGTGGCAGTTATTTAGATGAATCAGAAGAGGCAATGCAGCAAAGCTAATGTTAATACATCATTATGTGTGTGCATTTGACTGTTGGAAGAACTCCTTACTCATCTGGTGTTCTCTGAGTGATGTGCTAAATGTGGAGATGAATTACAGAAAAATAAGTTGTTAAGGTTTTTTGCTAGGTCACTTACTGATATGGACTGATGTTCAGGACAGGAAACTGCTTTGGCTTCACGGTGCTTTTAACCCTCCTTCCCTTTTCCACAGGCAGGAGTAAGGCAGCTTTACATACAGATTGATGTTGCAGCCATGTAGTCAGTTTCTGGAATGGTGCTGTTGGACCAAAGTTTTCAGTACTGTACTGGTGTAGCAACACTTCTTGAGACAGAGCCTGCCTCCCCCACGTCTGGAATTGACTGAATAGATTTCTTCCCTTGGGCTACGGAGGAAGTTCACTTCTAAGGAGTAAATATTGAATGAATGTTATGGACTTTGGGTCTTGTTTTTTTTGGGGCCCCTAAACTTGAAAGGTTTTGAGGGTTTTTTTACTTAATAAGATTGTGGTACTGGAAACCCTGTCATGTCTTCAGTAAAGCTGCTGAAACCACTGCTCATTCCCATCAAACCAGTGTTATTGGCAATTGGAAACTTGTTTTGTAGACAATGTCACAATGGCTGACATGCTTCAATATAACTGTATGTTTGTACAATTGTTTGTACTTTGCAAACTTAATGAACCAAACCATATTGGGTTTTCAAAGTGCCTTTTATATCAGGAGAGCTATTTGCCAGCATAAATATGGAGCATCAAAGGGTTTTACTACTTTTACAAATAATCTTGTATGCAGTCTGATTATTTACTAGTGATGTATGCGGGGGGGTTGTGTACTTACATAACTGTAGATGTTAGACTTCTGACTTCCATTATATTTGCATCTTACCAGACAGAAAAATTCTAAATGTAAAAGACAAAGCTGTTGTGAAGAGACTTGCTTCTGAGACAAGCTGGCTATTTTGTTGCACGTCTTGTGAAAATTATTTTAGGCCAAATATTAGATTTAACCCCAATTCTTAGTCTCTTCATACTGTTGAGAGTAATGAGACATTACATGATGTTGCTCGTGTTCAGTCACTTAAACAATGGGCAGTTGAGGGAAGATGCTGGTGATGGAAGCAATGCTTGAAGTTTTTTATTTTCCAAATCATGTGGTGGAAAAAAACTAAATCCTGAAATTGTGGAAGCTTAAGTCTCCTTGATTTTAATAGGTTGTTATAATTTTATTAAAGTGATGAAGTTCAAATTTTGCCTTTTCAAATATTGAAAATAGTTGTTTCTGGCAGTTATACCTGCAATGGAAATAAGGACCACTTTTCATGCTGTTTTAGCTTATGCTTTTCCCAGGCTGAAAAATCTTATATCTTTGACTATTTTACTGCAGCCTTGTATGTTTTCATAGGGGAGAAAATTCTCAGTGTAGTAAGGGTTGTTAAATTGGGTTTTTCTTTCCAAGTAACATTCTTCTGTCATATATTTTCTAGCATTTGTAATCATTTTACTCAGATATGAGTGTCACTTTCAAAAGCAGTCTGCTATGTTTGGTATTACAGGTGATAGTTCCACTGTGCTGTAGTAGTTCACTTAGTAATGGAAGACTTTTTAAGAGGACATTTTACACACAGAACATGGTGAAGTAAAAAGCAATCCAGGCATGGATTTTGTTTATTTTGGTACCTGTCAAAGGTAATACTACAATCAAGGCCCTGAGAAGCTTACAATGTCTGTGTAGTAAGTGCTAGGCACTATGAAATTATTGAAGATGGATTTGCAGAAATGGTTTGTTTGCCACTGATCCTGTTGAATCCATCACAGATATGAAGAGTTTCTTGCATTCATTCTGTTATTCCTATATAGCACCTGATTTCTTTTTATGTGAAAACACACTTGCCAAATTTGATGGTGGTTCCTGAATTTTCCAGTTGAGATATTGATACATGAATGTTGATTTTGTCCAGATCTTGGGGCTGTACTCTTGTGCTTAGAACTGGAAGCTGGGTGTAAAAAAATGGCAGTACAAAGCCACCTATAATATTGGTTTTAATCTTTGCTGTCTCTTCCAGTCTTCAGATCCCTCCATTGCCATTTCTGATCCCGTTTGCTCTCCCTGGGGACGCAGGCACAGAGTGCCCTCCCAGCAGGCTGCATGTTCACAGCTCTTCCCTGGCCTAACCCTAACCCTGGCACTCTATCAGGCTCTCTCCCTGTCCCACCTGGCAGTGCCAGGCCCAGAGTTCCTGCCTGGGAGATGGAAGTTACACAGCACAGGGTGGGGTGCAGGAATCTATTGAGCAGATTGGAGTGCTGCAGTTTAAGATCCTCTGTGCATGTATGTTCACAGAGAAGGTGAAAATCCAGCTGTGATTATAGGGTGGAGGTACTGTTTTGTAGTGGGGTGCATACAGACTGCTGCTTGCTGGCTGCCAGCAGGACTTCCTCATTTTTTAAGAGTTACTATTACTGCTATTTGAGGCTAGAGAAGATCAACTGATATCACTTTAAAGGCAAGTACCAGACAGATTCATTGCAACTGTGTCATGATCCAAGAGCAGGCTTTGGTTTAAGTCACCTTTACACCAGCATGTTTCAGGACTGACTGTTCCTGGACTTGTTGAAATGCTGCAGTGCTGCCCAAGTTGCTGAGCTTGGCCACTATCTTAGCTTCTTAATGAAAAGACAACTGCTAGAATTTGTTGCCAAGTGAGAACCTGGCAGAGTGGCTGTTTGTTTGATGGTGGTGATGGTGTTCTCTTAAATATACATCTACCAAAATTTTAATATGGGAAATGGAGTGAAAAATCCTATAAGCCTGTTACAATTACACAATGATTTTAATAGCTTTTGATAACTGTTTCTGCTTATTATGATTTAGCTGATTGTTGGAAGCATATGTTCAAGTCTATGAGTCTTCTAGCCAAGCAAGATAGCACTTCATTATGTTTAAACATTTATAACAAGAAATATATCATTTGTTTGTCAAATGTAATTGGGGATAGTGTAGGGAAGTCAGATTCAAAACAAACTTTAGCCATTTTAGGCTTTCTGAAAAAGGATAAGCATCACAAAATTCTACAAACACAGTGTATGATGTGTTCAGTCAGTAACTGCAGTCACATGTAGTATGTCAGTAAACAAGGGACATCAGATATTTTTTTCCACCTAAGGGGATACTTGCTCAGGTTTTAGAAGAGTACAAACCATGCAATTAAAAGCAAAAGTACAGCTTTCCTTACCCTGAGAGCCAAAGCACCATTATTTGTGTTTTGCTAATTACTTAACACTGGCTGCTTATGTAACACTTTGCTATTGACACTTTATTGGAGATGCAAGGCAGGATTTAAACAAAGACTTGTGTAAAAGACTGACACCCAGAGATGGGTGAATGGCTGCAGATCATGTGCTAAAACACAGCTTCCTGGTATCCACTTCTGAATTTTGAATCAAGTTTTCAAAGTGTGGTTTTCTCATGTTTTCATGTAGCTGATATTTACTGTGGGGTTACTAGTCTGTCTTTGTGGGTTATTTTTTTCTGTGACTAAAACCAGTAACTTAAAACCCTATTGTTCCAAAGACCAAGCCTGCAAACTGCATGATTTTTACCACATCTACAGCAAAATAAGAAGATAAAACAAATGTTACTGAGTGTCTGTATTAAAAAGCCTCAGTGTTTTTTGAGTGGAAGAAAACTTCTCTTATGAATATGCACACTAAGGACTGGTCCTTTACAGGCTAATCTGGTAAGTATACAGCTCTGGACAGACTGGCTCCTTTCATCAGGAGGGCTCCTACAGAGAGCTGAGTTACTCGTGTGATTTGCTAAGCTAGGATGGAAAGTAAATAAATGACTTTGCTTTTTATGTAATAATTCCTACTAAAGCAAAAGTTCAGTTGCATCATTAGTAAAAACTGCTGACACTATTTTTACACAAAAATTGAAGCTGCTACTACAAATAAAATAGACCTTAGTGACTTACCATTCTTAATTTACTTTTCTTCAAAGATGTAAAGCTGGGTTTAAAGGTGAAGGAAAATTAATGGTTCCTCTTTTTAACTGTTGTAAGTGAACCTGTTCTGGGAATGCAAACAAGGTACAAGAGGAGAGAATCTGCTGCTGAACTGCAGTTTTCCATCTTCTGCATGTAGTATGCAAACAAATTGTAAAGTCCATGGCTTTTCTTTCACAGGGCAGATTGCACTTGCACAGTGCAGATTTTTAGTTGTGTGCTTTTATAAAATGCAAACTCGTATCTTTCTTCATGACACAAAGTCTTTAAATACCAATTCAGAGCAAGAATTTTAGTTAATAATTATACCCTGTCCTGTTTTCTCCAGCAGCCATTAGATTGCTATGATTCTTGATTATCCCACTCCTTTAAGCAGGATTTTTTTTTTAATAATCTCTCTGATCCGCAATACTGACTCAGTAGTTAATTCCTCCTTTACACTTCTGTGAAAATCCTTATCTGAAGGTTGCTGAGGCTCCCTTTTGGATTTGTCCCCCATTCAGGCTTTGTTGCAATGCCCATCCCTGTGGGCACTTCCTTGGCCAGACACTGCTATAATGTGAAGCAATGCCAGCCATGCTGGGCCTGGCATGCAAAGACTGAGTCTTGCTGTGTGCAAATACTGCTCAACCTACTTGTCTGTTTCAGTGAGCCACAAAAGGTTCCTGCCTATGTGGTAATTTGGCTGAAATGATGTGTAAAAAGAGCTGGGTATTTCACTTCCCATGTGCATTGGAGCCTCTCACATGTATGCTGGGATTTTGTACAAGAGTTAAGTGAATCACTACAGTATCTTGGCTGAAGTGTGAAATAATGTGAATGAAGCAATTGCCAAAATCATTCCTGGCAGAATACAGCATATTGCTTGCCTTTACCTTTAAATTACAGGAATTACTCTTAGCAGTGAGCTTCAGTTCAATAGCAAAGTGTGTCAAAGTACCTGTGAAGAAATCTGGCAGGTAACCCAAGGCAGCTCACTAAAATTCTGAAGACTATGTCTGATTTTGTTCTGGAATGCTAATGTTAGTAGCTTAGCCACGGCTTGTCCCAAGTGCAATATTAAGAAATTTTTAATGTAATCTTTTCTACTTGAATACAGTCTATATAAAATGTTAAATATCCTATATTGCTGAAAAGATATGGGATCAAATTTCTTTCCAATAAATCTTCAGTTTAAAAAAAGTATGCATACAGGTCTGCTTTGTTTTCATCATATTGTGAAGAATAGTTGAAATAGCAACCACCATCATCTACAAGCTGATTTTAAAGAGAACTCTTGCAGTCTGTTTGCTGAGACTTGGCTTGAAGTTAATTGTGGTTGCTGCAGTTGAGTCTAGCCCTTCATAAATGCTAGCATTAACATATGAAGAAATCCAGTTCTATTTTTAGTTGCAGCTTCTGAACCATGAAATTCTGTGCAGCTTCTCCCCCTCTTTCACCAGCTGTCCACAGGGAAAGTTCTTGGTTTTCTTTGGTTTAGAGCATTCTCACCTGCCTGTATTCACTCTCCCAAGGCAAAGATGAACACAGACCTAACAGGTTTTGCACGCTAATGTTTTCTATTGGTAAGAGAACTCCTAAGTTTCTGCACAGTTGAAAGGCAAAATTTAACATCTAATGCACTTTAAACAATGTATGCAGTACGTTTGGTTAATGCACTACAACAAGTGATGCCACAGAGATACCTGGTACTCTTCTTATCCTAGTCAGCAGCCCAAGACTGGAGTGGATGTCAGTGATCTGAAGCAAAGGTTTCTGGAGGTGTCAGGTGCAGTTTGCAGCCTCAGGTAAAAGCAGGTCCATGTTCCTGCAGCATTGCCCTCTGAGTCTAACTACAGTTAGACAAGTCTTAAATAGTCACAGCAATATCTTTATGCTGTTATGCAATTACAGATGGAATGAAAATGTAAATGCCTCATTTTTATTTAAGCAGTCCTTTGACATGCATTATTTTCAAAACTGGAGCTATCTACAGAGAATAGTTTAAGCATTTCCAATTCCAGAGGATGCATAGTGCCTGTAACAATTAAGGAATGTAGTGGAGCACCCAGTTCCACAGTGGACATCTGCTGTAGAGTGCCTGAAGCAATCTTCTCATCTAGAGCACCAACGCGAGCAAGGCCAACACAAATTGTGTTTTCAGTAATTTCTGTAAGAAAGAAGATGAAATGTTTAATTTATTGACTAATGGTCCTATCATAAGGGAAAAAATACTCAAAATGCTTAAACCTTTATACTGCTT